ACCCCACTTCATGAAATGTTGGCACAGAGGGCTCTTGTTGATTTGCTGGCCCGCCTTCACTTAGGGCGGGCACGAGGCTTGATGGGGCCTTAGCCCAGAACATGTACATCATGGCAAGGCCCCTACTTGAGGGCTCAATCCTCACATCTACTTCAAACGGAAAAAAAAGATAGAAAAGGGCATCCTCCAAAGACTAGCACCACAGTCTGAGAACTGTGTTTTTCTAAGAGGACCTTGCCTTTTGGCCTGTTTTTTTCTGAGATCTGTATGTTTGAGTGTTTTCCTTTTTCCTTGTCCACACAAAAGTGACAAAACCCATGCCCCATGGGGAGCGCAAGTCCGGTTGCTCATCACCGGCAGGCAAATGTTCAAGTGTTTTCACTTGTCCATGCTTCAATGCTTGCCCTTTCTGATTATTGACCCTGTGCCATGTGGTGGTGCTGTGCCCCGGCGGGGACAGAACTACAAATAAAAGTACACACAGGTCAGACAGAGAAGTAGGACCAACAGGGATAGTAGGCAAATGTGTAAGGCACCCGGTAGGAATTTTCTGGGAAGTTGGAGAGGGCCCATGTACAGCAGGATCAGGAGCAGGTATACTGATGGTGCAGGACTGAATATAGGCTAGACAAGAAGGGCCAGTGCGTCGTCACCCGCATGACATAGTAGGTCAGTGACGAATCGTGTCTAACACACGGGAACAGTGAATCGGCTTTCGAAGAAATGGCACGCAAGTGCATATTTACATATACTATGTAGTATATAGTTATACTGTAACTTTTACATTAGAAAGAAAAAAAGAATCACGTAATTCCCACTTTTACCTGATTATGCATGCAGAGGGGAGAGAGAGAGAGAGAGAGAGAGAGAGAGAGAGAGAGAGAGAGAGAGAGAGAGAGAGAGAGAGAGAGAGAGAGAGAGAGAGAGAGTTACAAAGTTGTCTAGTGTGATACTGTCTTTTGCTTCAAGTTGTTTTGTGAGCAAGCCTCTCTTCTTAACATTGTTCTGCAAGGAGATAGGGGCTTCTGCATGCAATGCACATTGAATGCACACTCGTGCACACATTGCTACCTTAGTGTCTTTAAATCACTGTCAACATGTCAAGCAGCCCCAACCTGGCTTCATCCAGCAGTGCTGAGTGCACTGATGATTGATGAACACTCGAATGACACCTGGTGCAACTGCATTGCACTTTGAATGAATGTGTGTACTCTATAGTTTACTAATTTGTCATACTTTCGTAAGTTTGTATTACTTTTTGCATATGAGCAATGAGTAGGTGGAGGCCAGCCCCCACCTTAGTGTCTGCATATTGTGGTCAGCATGCAAGCAGCCCCAGCATGGATTCATCCTGTAGTGCTGAGTGCACTGATGATTGACGAACACTTGAATGACACTTGGCGCAACTACATCGCACTTCAAATTTATATCTGAGTACTCTACAGTTTACTAATTTGTCATATTTCATATTACTCCTTGCATACAAGCGATGAGTAGGTGAAGGCCAGCCCCAACCCACCGTAGGAAGTCGTTGAAGTCCACGCCATTCAATGTCCGCAGCTGACTACTGTACCGGGAACTAACCCACGGAAACATTCCTGCATCTGCCCCTGTGACCATTTCCATGCCTGCGTCTCGACAAGGATCATGATCCTGGGGAGTATTTGCCTTTGCTCGCTGGATCTTTCGCCACAACCGATATGCCTCCATCCGCACAAACAATCGCTGCATGGAAGACAACTCCTCCAGACTCCTCTGCCAGACCTACGTCAAGAAAACAGCCCACACCACAACCAACACATGCAAAGGTAAGAAGGAAAGAAGATTAGCAGTGGTCAACATGCCAGACACATCCACTTTTTTCGCACTGATGAGCATTTCGACTACAGTTCATCCAGAGATGAGCAGTGGCCAAAATGTCAGACACATCAACTTTCTTTGCACTGATGAGCAGTTTCACCACTTCTCATCCACAGAGGAGCAGTGGTCAAAATGGCAGATGCATCCACAGATAAGCAGTAGTCAAATTCCATGCATTATGCAGTGAAGGGCCAGCCTAAACTTTGCCAAACGCATCCACATTCCCTTTTTTTTGCTGAGAAGACACATCCATCAAAGGGGAAATCAAAATGCACTCTAATTGGTAGTTGTGACTATACTACAGCTTCCTCCTTATGGGTGCTGCAGACTCTCATGCTTGCAGTCAGTTCCCAAGATGAGACTTCCTGCTTGTTTTCGCCTTGTCTTCTTACAGGTTTCAGTCAAATCCGCACACAGAATATATGACTTCTGGTGGTGGGTGTTCTGAAATTTAGACTTTCCATGGCAGGCCACTGACACCAAACTGCAGGTTTGTGCAATGACTTGCTGATTTCTGCTGCCGAGATCTGACTGCGAGGTTGTATAATCGTGTCTTAGGGTCAGATTCGTAATTTGGTTTGTGTCAGGGA